AGAAGCTCAACAACAAAAACTACAACACGTGGGCAACATGTATGGAGTCATACTTACAAGGTCAATACCTTTGGGAGGTTGTCGGTGGTGATGAAGTTACACAACCGGCGACAGAAGATGCCAATGGAATCTTGCGAAAGTGGAAAATTAAAGCAGGCAAAGCAATGTTTGCTTTAAAGACCACAATTGAAGAAGAAATGTTGGAGCACATCCGGGATGCTAAAACACCAAAGGAAGCATGGGACACTTTTGTTACACTCTTTTCGAAGAGGAATGATACAAAATTGCAACTTCTCGAGAATGAACTTCTATCAATGGCGCAACGCGACATGGCGGTTGCCCAATACTTTCACAAGGTGAAGTCGATATACCGTGAAATTTCAGAATTAGATCCGACAGCTGCTATTGGGGAAGCCAGGATAAAAAGAATAATTGTCCATGGTTTGAGACCCGAATATCGAGGGTTTGTTACCGCTGTACAGGGATGGCCGACACAACCATCGCTTGTTGAGTTCGAAAATTTGCTTGCAGGTCAAGAAGCCATGGCCAAGCAAATGGGAGGAGTCTCGTTGAAGGGTGAAGAGGAAGCGCTCTACACCAGCAAAAGCAGAGGCACTTTTCAGCGGTATACTGGCAATGGATCTAAAAAGGATGGTGACAAGGTGAAAAATTACCAAGGAAAGGGAGGCCCTCATTCAGGGGGAGCTTCCAAGAATCGCGGTAATAGTAGAAAGTTCGATGGCAAGTGTTACAATTATGGGAAGATGGGCCACATGGCAAAAGACTGTTGGACCAAGAAAAAGCCTGTTGAAAGTAATACTGCTACTTCTTGTTCGAAGGAGAATAGTGAAGATGGTTGGGATGCTGAAGCGTTATTTGCTACGGAGGAAGAAGAATTAGCTCTAACGGTAACAACACCAGAACGGATTGACTACAAGAATGATTGGATCGTAGATTCTGGCTACTCAAATCATATGACGGGTGACAAACAGAAGTTGCAAAACCTGTCTGAGTACAATGGAGGTCGTGTGGTGGTGACAGCTGACAACTCAAGGTTACCGATAACTCACATCGGTAAGACAATAGTTACTCCTCGATATAATACTAACCAGGTGCAACTCCAAGATGTTTACCATGTCCCAGGAATGAAGAAAAATTTGCTATCTGTGGCTCAACTAACATCATCAGGCCATTATGTCTTATTTGGTCCCCAAGACGTGAAGGTTTATCGTGACGTCAAAATCACAGAAACACCAACAATGGAGGGACGACGTTTGGAATCAATTTACGTGATGTCAGCAGAGTCTGCATATGTGGACAGGATAAGGAAAAATGAGACATCAGATCTATGGCACATGCGGTTAGGTCACGTTAGCTATTCCAAGCTAAGTGTGATGGTGAAAAGGTCGATGCTTAAGGGGCTTCCTCAACTAGACGTGAGAACAGACACGGTCTGTGCGGGATGCCAGTATGGTAAAGCACACCAATTACCATATGACGAGTCGAAGTTTAAAGCAAAAGAACCTTTGGAGTTGGTTCACTCTGATGTGTTCGGACCGGTTAAGCAACAGTCAATTAGCGGTATGCGGTACATGGTAACATTCATTGATGACTTCTCCAGGTATGTGTGGGTTTTCTTTATGAAAGAAAAATCTGATACTTTCTCAAAGTTTAAAGAGTTCAGAGACTCAGCTGAAGGAGAAGTGGGAAAGAAGATATGCTGCTTGCGCACAGACAACGGAGGAGAATATAGATCAAACGAGTTCTCTCAATACCTAAGGGAATGTCGAATACGTCATCAGTACACTTGTGCCAACACGCCACAACAGAATGGTGTAGCGGAAATAAAAAACCAGCATCTTGCAGAAATTTGTCGAAGTATGCTACATGCAAAGAACGTATCTGGAAGGTTTTGGGCTGAAGCAATGAGGACTGCAGCCTTTGTGATCGACAGACTTCCTCAACCAAGGTTAGGATTTGTTTCACCCTTTGAGAAACTATGGAACATAAAACCTACAGTTAGCTACTTTCGAGTATTTGGTTGTGTATGTTATGTGTTTGTTCCTGATCATTTACGGAGCAAATTTGACAAGAAAGCTGTTAGATGTATCTTTGTGGGATATGACAGCCAGAGAAAGGGGTGGAAATGTTGTGATCCAATTAGTGGAAGATGCTACACGTCACGAAATGTGGTATTTGATGAAGCATCTTCTTGGTGGTCCTTAGAGAAGGAGGTGTTGCCAGATTCGAGAGAATTTGGAGACAAACTACAACAAAAGATGGGGGAGCATGATGTTCAACTTCAAACAAGTTCAGATGAATCATAAGATCCAAATGGCAATGATGTCGAACAAAGAGTGACTCAGAATCCGTGGCAAACTGGCGTGTATCAACAACCAAACGAAAAAGGTGGGCCTAGTGAAACAGAAGAATCAATTCCACAATCTCAACTTCGAAGGTCAACAAGAATACGAAGGCCAAATCCCAAATATGCCAATGCAGCCATAATTGAAGAAGCAACGGAGCCTGAGACGTTCGAAGAAGCATCGAAGAGTTCTGAGTGGATGACAGCTATGAAAGAAGAGATCGATGCACTTCAGCAAAATCAAACTTGGGATATTGTACCAAAGATAAAAGATGTGAAACCCATATCTTGCAAATGGGTTTACAAGATAAAGCGCCGTCCAGATGGGTCAATCGAGAGGTACAAAGCGCGATTGGTAGCTCGTGGTTTCTCTCAACAGTATGGATTAGACTATGATGAAACATTTAGTCCAGTGGCGAAACTTACAACCGTACGAGTCTTACTTGCACTTGCAGCAAACAAAGACTGGAACTTGTGGCAGATGGATGTAAAGAATGCTTTTCTTCATGGAGAGCTAGATCGAGAGATCTACATGACCCAACCAATGGGTTTTCAGAGTCAAGATCATCCTGAATATGTGTGTAAGCTGCGAAAAGCACTCTACGGATTGAAACAAGTACCTAGGGCGTGGTATGGTAAGATTGCTGAATTTCTAACGAAAAGTGGTTATTCAGTAACACCTGCAGATTCTAGCTTGTTTGTCAAAGCCAATGAAGGTAAGCTAGCTATCGTGCTAGTGTACGTGGATGACTTAATCATAACCGGTGATGATGAGGCAGAAATTCTTCAGACGAAGGAGAATTTATCAGTTCGTTTCCAGATGAAGGAACTTGGACAACTTAAGCACTTCCTTGGTCTAGAGGTTGATCGTACACACGAAGGAATATTTCTATGTCAACAGAAATATGCTAAAGATTTGCTGAAGAGGTTTGGAATGCTCGAATGCAAGTCAACTTCAACGCCAATGGAACCAAATATCAAATGTGTGCACATGAAGGAAAAGATTTGGAAGATGCAACAATGTATCGAAAATTGGTAGGTAGTCTGATCTACTTAACCTTGACCCGACCTGACATTTCTTATGCAGTTGGTGTGATGAGTCGGTATATGCAAAATCCAAAGAAGCCTCATTTGGAAGCAGTTCAACGAATACTGAGATATGTGAAGAATACAATTGACTATGGTCTTTTGTACAAGAAAGGTGAAGACTGCAAGTTAGTTGGTTATTGTGATGCTGATTATGCAGGAGATCATGACACCAGGAGATCAACAACTGGGTATGTGTTTAAGCTTGGCTCCGGAACAATTTCTTGGTGTAGCAAAAGACAACCAACGGTATCATTGTCAACCACTGAAGCTGAGTATCGAGCAGCAGCAATGGCAGCTCAAGAGAGTACATGGTTGATACAGTTGATGAATAATCTACATCAACCAGTAGATTATGCAATTCCGTTGTATTGTGACAACCAATCGGCAATTCGGCTAGCGGAGAATCCTGTCTTTCATGCAAGAACTAAACATGTGGAAGTACATTACCACTTTGTTAGGGAAAAAGTTTTGCAAGAAGAGATTGAGATGAGGCAAATCAAGACAGATGAGCAAATTGCTGACTTGTTTACAAAAAGCTTGAGTGTTGGAAAGTTTGAACATTTCCGTCGTCAGCATGGCGTGATTCAAAGAATGGAGGCTAACATTGAGGGGGAGTGTTGAAAATTCAATATTAGCCTATATGTTCACACCTAAATTAATTTGATGTCATTGCTTACATCAATTTAGTTTTGATGTCATTGCTTACATCAATTTAGTTAGGTGAAAATTAAGTATTTTTCTCATGTTTTAATTTCAATGATTTAGATTATTTAGTGTTTATTTTAATGAGTGGTTTAGATTGTTTCTTGTAACCTATAAATACCCTACTTGTATTTGAGTTTTATCATCCAACAATCAAAGCTTAATTATAAGCATTTGAAAGCTTTCTTAAGAGTTCTTCCCTTTTGCAATTTTGTGAGATTATTCTAAAGAGAGTTTTTTTTTTAGATCAATTAGAGTTTTTACTCTATTTTGATTCAACAAAGAACAACCATTTAAGGTTACAATGATAAAGAAAAACGCACAAGACAAAATTCGTTTTTCTTTTTTAAAGTTGGACAACCTTTGATGCCTTTTGCCAATCCAAAACCATCCATTTTTCTACCACTTGACCCTACAAGCACTTGTAGAATTTATTTTATGTACATTCTTACAAGTGCCACGAATTAATCCATAATCGAATAAATCCCCAAATGTATTATCTCAATTGAATTTTTATTTTAAAATTCACGATCAAATAAACCTTAAAAAATTGACCTTAGAATTTTCAAATAATAATGATATCTTTTCGATTTTAAGAATTTATTTAATCACAAATTTTCAAATAAAAACTCGATTGAAACAACATTTCATTAAAAAAGAGTGGTCCTTGTGTTCGAGACCATTTTAGGCACATACGCACATGGGCATAAGGACATGACCTAGAAACTGTCATACACCACATGTTGGACATATATTCGTATGACATCCACATCCAAATCCGAGTAACGTTAGGAAAACTCGGACCAAAATTAAACAATCTCCTAAAATTTGAACCAACGGCCAAGGAAATTTTGCATTAGCCCTTCGGACTAAAGGTAAAGATCTACTGGCGTTTTATGGAAGGAAGCAAACAGTCGTACAAGCGTTCCATTCGTGCCGTCACGATTAGCTTGTGAGAAGTTTGAAGACCAGGCTTTCCCAATTCAATTATATCCTGTTTCAAGCTGTTCATCGCATTTATATATTATCTGTTAGTTGCCATCTTTGGTTCAACTTCATCGTTATACAACGGAAAAGCTGAAAAGAGACGGGAGACGTAGTTTAACTTTTAAATAGTTCAAGAAATAGATAAATCACTAACCATTGTCATTCACCAGCTGCCTCTGCATGTCTTCTGACACAATTGTATAAGCGATCTAGACAATAAATCAACAGCCCGAACATGCATTGTGCATCGTTTTCCTGCGAAAGAGACCATTAAATATGTTACATCCATTTTCACCCTTCGGAACATAGATGTGAGTAAGAGCTAGTGATGTGCAGCATCGAGTCGAAGCAAAAGGAATTTCAGATTAGTCACACAAAAAGAGTTGCAAATCAGCGGTACTTTAATTCGTCACCAGAGAGACCGAATGCAGAAAAGTAAAAGTACATAGAGCTTTTGAACTAAATAAAGGTTCTTCTAACAGATCAAGCTTCGTTCTTGGTGCCTAATCCATGAGCACAAATGCACAAACATATCGAGCACATGAAATCACACTGGATAGCAGATGATATACTTATTTTGAAAGAGGGATCAATGGGAAAAGGATGGAGGGCGAAAATGCTTTCAGAAAGCAAAAACAACACAACCACTCGGATCTTGGTCTCAGAGAAAGATGCTTTCAGTTAACTCGATCTCCGACCTTACCACAAGGCCATTAAAGCTAGTTAGAACTTGGTCTCAGTTGAGAATGCAAATAAAGTCAAGATCTTGTAAATGGCTAGGCCAGAATCTAAATTTCATCAAGGCCCTTTGCTTTTCAAATGATGATAAATAATAATAAAAAGAAGCCTACGAGGATGAGGGGAAAAGAGAAATTAATCAGGAGCATCCAAGCACCAAACAGAGATGTGAGGTTCTTACCAGCCCTTGGTCAAGGTAAGCCTGGTACTGCAAAATTGTTCTCTCAACCTCCACAATAAGTAGCCTCCTTTGGATACGAGCGATTCTCCCCCTGCCTTCCGCTTTAGTATCCTGAATACAATAACAAACCAGATAATCATATGCACGAGAAACACAAAAGAAAGAAGAATTTGTTTAATGGAACGCTGTGGAAATGCTCTTTGATGGAACTTTAGCTTTAGTTACTCTAGACAAAGAAACTGACAGTCAAATACACTAAACTTCAGAAGGCATATATATATGCTGGAGGTTCAAGGTTGGATTGAAATTGTGGCAATATAAATTTGTATAGTGTTCAAACTTGCCTAGACCATGCAAGCAAGGCCACGATCAGACCAAGAGACAGAACCATTTAGAAGGTATATATATATACCTAGCATCTTGTCTCTTCATGTAGTCGTCAACAAACAGAATTCACTTAAGATATTGTATAGCTTTAAAGTGTTCAGACCTGTCTAAACCATGCACGCACAGCTACTATCAGACCAAGAGACAGAAAGAATGCTGGCAAGGCAGCTAGGATTGCAAAGTTGATTTCATTTGCTCTGAGAATCTGATCCAGTTCAAGCATTGCCCTAGTTCAATGAGCACCTTAAGAAGTAAGAACATTGAGAATTGAAATAAACCAGATTGCAACTATGTAGGAAAAAGCTGGTGTTGAACATACATCTCAACATCTAGTTTCAGCTTCTGAACCTGCACTAGAAAAAGCATAAAGTTATGCAACCAGAACAAAAGGCAGCAACTGTGTAGTAAAAACGAGCATTACCTGGATGAGCAGAGCACGAGCAAGCTCTCCATGGAGAAGATTCTGGATAGGATGAATAATTTTCATATCTACGTTATAAATCCCAATGAATTAGAGTCTCTCAAAGAAGAATCTTGGCAAACTTAAGAGATATACAGCACTGCATGGCAATTCAGTTAAAGCAATATATCAGATTAGCAATCCAAGGAACATAGTTATTCTAAAATATTGTCTATGAACAGAAAAGCGTGAAAATCGAGAATCCTAGGTTTCTTATGTATTGGAATCTATAAGAACTTACTATTACTTATGTTTTTTTATCTGAAGCAACTTTTGTACCTGAAGCTTTCATAGAGGTAAAATACCGAACAAAAGAACAAGTTCAAATTTTACATTTAAGGTGTGCATCATAAGTCATTAAGTGCAAACATGGCTAGTGTTACCATAATATTAGAAAGAAAGTCGCACCTTAACATAACAATCTCAAGCATTTCCTTATCTGATGCATTCTCTGGGAATTTTTTACCTTTTGTTTCCTCACTGAAGGCCAATAACATTCTGCAAACCATGGAAGCAGCTATGGCTTTCAATAATATAGCAATTACTCTTGAATGAAAAGAACTTCATTACATCCAATCACCATAGAAAAAAGGAGATCAAATAGTGGAGTGGAAGACAATTTAAAGCCAAATAAAACAAACTTCAAGCAACCTAGAATCCAACTTCCTTTGTTCTTGATATCACAAGCAAAGATTAGAGTGATGAGTGTACTCATCGTTTTGTACATATGGAGGCCCATTTGTCTTTGAGCTACACACTAGCCCTTCTTTATCCTTAAACCTCAACCCCACCCATGGTTAGGACCGTTAGATATATTCAAAGAATTTGTATCCTAATTCTAAATAATCTTGCTGCCTAGAAGTCAGAACCATGTAGTTTCACATAGGCATATACTTCATTCATAGATGAAAAAAAGGAAAAGGACCAAAGAAAACACATCTAACAATTCCCTTGCTACTAATTTTAATTCAATATTCATGAATACAAATCGGCAGAAAGAAATTTAACCTGTGGAGAGAATCTGAAGTCAAGTGCACTTCCTCCATATCCATCACACCTTTTTGTCTTTTCTTAAATGTATCCAAAAGTTCATCTCTAATTGCCAAAAGCTAAAGATAAATTGAGTTTAACATCAATGAAATCAGTTGCTGCGTTCCCAAGCATTCATAAAAATGGCCAATTCAAGACTTTCAGGAGAGAGCTGTAAAAACAACTGAGCAATCAGAATAGCACAATGCAGCATACCGGTTGCTCAACATGGTCATTAAAGAAGCTAACTGTAGACTCCCTTGCTTCATGAATCCAATTGTCTATGTCAGAACTTCCCATCAGACGACTATGTCGTAGGAGCCAAAAAGAACAAACTGAAAGGCCAACTGCACCACAGGTATACCGGATCCAGTAACGAGTTACTTTACTTGGTTTTTTATGTTTAGCTACCTAAGAGCAAGGTATGAGAATAAGCAACAAATCCAAAACTATATTGAAGATCAAATGCAAGAATCGTCAACAAACAAATCAGTTGATAGTTAAAAAAATGTCTGTTTTATTATGACAAGGACTAAAGAAAAAATGATCATTACCATGAAAGCTAAGTAAGAGTCCAGTTCCTGTAGATTCTGACAAACCAAGTTGATAGAATCATTAATTTCAGAATTTGTCCATTGAGACTCTTCCTGATTGAGTTCTGGCAATCTTTCAAATAGTAGAGCAAAGGAATAGGTTTCATCAATGGAAGAACTGCTCTGCATAGTGTTTACATGAAAATTGGAACATAAAAGTTCTTAACAAGCTAATAATAGCAGCATGTCTGAAATGCTCCGTATAGAAATATATACCTGACGCAACATATGAAGATGGCCAATTGATGCCTCCAACTTAGAAAATAAGCTATTAAGAGTGCATGCTATTGAGGAAAATGACTTCTCTGGATCTTTTACCAACTCCTCTCCACATTTGTCAACATCTACATAAAACTATTCAAGAAAACAAGCAATGAATCCTTGATTATTCATGTCTGACAAGTGACAAACCAAAAAACAATGCTAATATTTACAGTTATCAAGCCTCACTACTACATGCCTAGTGTCAAAGTCTATCAATGGCTTTTGGAGGTTTGACTTCTGAGAGAGAGAAACAAAGGATACTTTTGTGAAGTGTGTCAGCAGATTACAGGCTTCCTTATCAAGGTTAAAATGTATCATGACAATACAGAACTAGAACAATATGGAACAAACCTGAGCCAGAAAAGCAGCAAGCGAGCACCTTAGTGAAGATAAGACGGCAATCCTTTCAGAGATGTAAACGGATGCAGAATGGTAAAGGTTTTGCATTGCCGATCCTTCAGTGACAGCTTCACGCATGAGTTTAACTGATCCATTAACAAAAGCTTGTGGCCCTCTCTCAAAAATCATGAAGTAAACTTTCCTTGCATTAGATCCCTACAAATTTTCAACAAGATTAAGATAAACACTAAATTGCATAGACACGAAAAATACTCTTTAAGTATCAACAAGATGCTTTTGCTCGAGTTATTTCATTTGTGGAAGTAGATGTGCTCAGGCAGTTAAAGGCTGACAAAAAACAAAAACGAAAAAGTAACCAAAAAAACCGATTCAAACAGTGCAGTGAAGCATATGATTGATGACCCGAGGTAGTGCACTAATGGGCTAGAAATGGAAAACAAACAGTTATAGCCCTTGCGAACAGTGAATAGAAACAGAAACGGAAAACGGTATTTAGTAAGAACTGAAAAATAAATCATAAATCATTTTTATACTTTCATAACTGAGTAATGATTTAATTTTTCTATGATAAATATATAAATTATATCATCTTTTTCGTTTAAGTAATTAAAGTACTTTTTTTGTCGCATTTAAAAGTTATTTTTTTATTCAAAGTAAATAAGCTTAAATATATAAAAGGTACCTGATCTATATCTGTTTTTCTAGTTTAGTGACTAACGTTTATTTCGTTTCAATTTGGTACTTACCGTTTTATTCCGTTAATTAAAATGAGTTAAGTCGTGACAGACCGTTAAATTTCATCGTTAACCCATTAAAAATATCACCTGACATATTTTTTAATATTAAAAATCAGTTCCCTCTCTTCACATTCCTTCCGGATAATCTAAAAATTTGCAGGGAACCCTCGTCTTGCGAAGAACACCAGACATCTCCTCTCGCTTCTTCTTCGCCCTTTTCTGAGTTGCCAACTTTCTCTTAGCTACCTTGAGCGCTCGCTTGTCCTTACGGACTTTCAAAAGCTCGATGGTCCTCTTCTCGTACGGTGCAAAACTAACAACTTCCCCGATCAAGTTCCTCACAAAATGGACTCTCTTGCTAGTTTTCTAAAAACTAGCAACAAAAGTGAAATAAATACTTTAAGCAATTAACTAAAACCCGGTCCAATGACATAAGATCTTCCAAGTGATAAAAAAATGGAGTAACAAAATATCTAATATTAGTTATTTTTTCCTTTCCTATTTCAACAAAAGACAATTATTCTGCGAAAATTACGGCATAGAATACACTTTCTCCTTTTCTATTAGATGGACGTCGAGCCAACTCCTCCTTGGTTGCAACATGGCCCTTGTACGGTCCTACAAAGAGGCCTGTATTTGGCTGCTTGGTAGCCATGTCTGCTTTAGCAACGATAAACCACACGTATAAACAAAATGAAAAGAAGCATAACAGGGATCATCATTTTTTAATGCATTACTCGTGTAACTAGAATTACAATTACTAAAAAAAAACCTATCTGCTTCACTCAAGAAACATTGAATCGTTGATCATTGCCAAACATTGACTATATCAACCACGAATCAAATAAAAACAGTTCCAAATGCTCGATATCAGCTAAAAAACTTTATTTTTTTTTCTTCTTCATTAACTTGAGCGACCTGGCACAAAAACTATGTTTTTAAGTTTGCAGTTCGTTCCCCAAACAATAAAATTGATTGCAATATATTTAGAAGGTAAAGAGTGAAGGAAGCTTAGAGGATAAACACACTACGTTTCCCTTTACTTCACTTGCCAATGAACCTTTGAACTGCAGCTGCCGATGAACTTACTCCGGCTCCGGCAAGTGCGCCCACTAAGAGGCCGGGTTTTAGCGGGAACACATGTGGGTCTCATTGGGGCGGTGGTGGCGGGACTAGGGCGTCAGGGGCAGGGAAATGGTTATTGTAACCCCCTAGACCCGGCCTATGTGTTCGACTAAGTCTAGTGGATCACATTATGATTCTTAAAGATATTTTTCCGAAACCGTTATTAAATCAATGTAAAATCACATTATAAATGACATGAAATTATAATAAATCATACTATCAAAACCCAACTTGTAAATATAATATCAATAAGTAATAAATTAATTTAAAACATATCTTAAAAAAAATCAAATCACGATAAACCGAATAGTAATAGCAAAAGTGTCATCATATTAAAATCCCATACTTTAAAATAAGGTCCATGTCAACAAAATAAAGTCAACTTGCAAGGTAAAAACATTACAATCAGATATACTTCAAGAGATATGTTGATCCTCCAAGTGCTCAATCCAGGGTATCTAACCAACAGTATCTGAAAGGGGGAAAACATTTTCGAAAAGTGAGCTAGGCTCAGTGTGTCCCAACATTACCATAAAATCACTATAGGTACACTAAACATATCATAGTACAAAAAGTCTCATAAAATTATACTGCAGTAAATCTCTTTTAAAAAAAAACGTTACCCTAAGGGAACATCTTAGGGCCTGAGAGCCTACCCAAGATAGATTTCGGGGCCGTGGGGCCTACCTAAGAACATATCTTAGGGCCGCAGAGCCTACCTAAGAGTCACATTAGGTCCGTAAAATTTTCCAGCTTGATCAGAGCTGTACTTTATAAATTCATATTCCAAAAATTCAATTGCACCGTGTTATAAATTCCATAAAACCATAAACATGGTAATTCTATACCATTTCAAAACAAATATCAGATAACAGTCATAATCCATAAATCATCACATTAAATCGGTGCATCAACAATACGGTAACCAAAGAATTCAGTGTACCACATATTAAAACAAATAAAACAGTTCAATAATAAATAGGGAACACACCTCGATAATAGGTTCAAATCGTGGATCTACTGATTGCTGGTTTCACCACGCTCTGCTACAGTTTTCGAACCTAATTTATAATATCACTATATTACTAATGGGTAACACAAATAAATCTCTAAAATCATAAAATTTACGAGTCTTACGAGTGAATACTGGTATACGTGGTTTAACTGATCTAGAAGAGCTGGGTCGAGCTATCGAACGATCCGGAGAGTCTCTTGTACCTTCAAACAATAATAATTAATCAACCCCAAATCTTACTTAATTGTTCAAAGCTAGAATTCTTAAGTATATAAGCATTTTTCGGGTTTGACTATCATTTTGGGGTATTTTGAGTCTGAATTTGGCCAAACGGATTCCGAAATCGAAATCAGGACGTCGAAAAACATAAAGTATGACTTTTTAAAAATTCAGATTCTTGGTCAAAGTCAAAGTCAACCACTTTGACCGTCGATTTGGAGACCTTCGGGTTTGAATTTGGTGAAACGGACTGCGGAAATGAATTTGGCACGTCGAAAACTATCAGGATAGGTATACTCGGAAAAGATTTACGGTCGTTTAAGGGTCGGTCAAAGCCATTTTAAGTTTTAGTCAAAGAAAGTCAACGGTCAACGGTCACGGTCAACGGTCAACGGTCAACGGTCGGGTCGGGTCAACGGTCGGGTCGGGTCAACGGTCGGGTCGGGTCAACAGTCGGGTCGGGTCAACCCGGTTCAGACCGGTCAAACCGGTTCAAAACTGGTCAAACCGGTTTTCCAGCAGCTCACTCTCCCTGCGGCGGCGCGTGCGGCGCGTGAACAGTGCCACGGCGTCGGAAAATTCCCGGAAAAATTTCTAAAAATTATTTTGAGCGATTTCGAGATACTTACAACGATCGGTTCAAATTTTTGAACGGCGGAGAGCTCGTATTTCAACTCGGCCGAATCTTTGACTGCTCCACCTCCTCACGCGCCGCCGTCGACGGCGAACAAGGTTGACACCGGCGGACTCGCAACTACACAAGGAACACGATGGTGCAGGAGGTGTCGTAAACGAAACAACGATCGGCGGTGAATTTAAGTTTTTCCCGGCGATAGAGCTAAAAAAACGACGATGCTTTGACTGAAAATTCCCGACGTTTGGCAGCGTTTCACTTCAATTAATTTGAAGGGTTTGTTCCTCGCTTAATGATGAACACAACGGTGTTTTCAAAACGACGATCGGAATTCGGACGGCGCCGAAATCGTGGTCGGAAAAGGCGTTGGGGGAAGATAATTTGGGAGCATTTGGTTTCTGTTTTCAGAAACCAAATGCACGCATATAACACCCACATCTACCTAATTATTTTGGTTAAATTCAGGGCTTAGTCCTTGAATTTTATTTGACTCTAAAACAAGCTCCAAATTTTAAAATCTTTCAATTTAGTCCCCAATTTTCGCCAATTTTTACAATTAACCTCAAATTTCAATTAACTATTATTTTGTAAAAATTTGGGTTGTTACAATTCTCCCCCTCTACAAGAAATTTCATCCTCGAAATTTACCTTATAAGAATAGTTGAGGAAACTGAGCTTCCATTGACTCCAATGTCTCCCAAGTAGCTTCTGAGGGGCCTCGATTACTCCATTGAACTTTGACCATTGGAATACGCCTATTCCGAAGAACTCGCTCATCTCTTTCTAAGATATGGATGGGTTCCTCCTCATATGACAAATTAGGTCTCAGCTCTACATTCTCAACCTGAATGATGTGATTTGGATCTGGACGGTATCGCCTCAACATTGATACATGAAAGACATCATGAATACGACTGAGCTCAGAGGGCAACTCAAGCTGGTATGCAACAGGTCCTACCTTCTTCAAGATACGAAATGGTCCAATAAATCTTGGACTTAATTTACCCTTACGCCCGAATCTCAATACTTTCTTCCAGGGTGAAACTTTTAAAAAGACCTGATCTCCAGCCTCAAACTGTATATCTTTCCTTCTTTGATCTGCATAAGACTTCTGCCTATCAAATGCCTCTTTCAGACGGTCACGAATCAATCTGACTGTGTCCTCCGTCTCTCGCACTAACTCAGGTCCCAACGTCTTCCTATCACGCAAATCCAACATATCGGAGTGCGACATTTACGCCCATAGAGTGCTTCATAAGGTGCCATACGAATGCTGGTATGATAACTGTTGTTGTAAGCAAATTCAGCCAAAGGCAAAAAGTTCTCCCAGCTACCATGAAAATCAATTACGCAACCCCGCAGCATATCCTCCAGAATCTGAATCACTCTCTCAGATTGACCATCAGTTTGTGGATGAAAGGATGTGCTATAATCCAATCTTGTTCCCAAAGCCGTATGTAGCGCCTTCCAAAATCTCGAAGTAAATCTCGGATCTCGATCAGAAATAATAGACAATGGAACACCATGCAATCGGATAATCTCTGAAATATACAATCTCGCCAGCTTGTCCAAAGTATAATTTACCCGCACATGAATGAAGTGAGCTAACTTTGTAAGTCTGTCAACAATTACCCAAACTGAATCTTTTTTCGAAGGAGTCATAGGTAAACCGGTAACAAAATCCCTAATAATACGCTCCCATTTCCATTCAGGAATCTTGATAGGCTGTAACAAACCTGATGGATGTTGATGTTCTGCCTTAACTTACTGACAAGTCAAACACCTCGCCACAAAATTCGAGATGTCCTTTTTCATGCCGACCCAATGATACCACTCTCTCAAATTTCGATACATCTTATCTCCACCGGGGTGCATAGCATATGGACTACTATGAGCCTCAGCAAGGATAGTCTGCCTCAACTCAGCATCATCCGGCACACAATACCGACCTTTGAAGCATAAAACTTCATCCTGATTAAGGGCATAACCTAAGTTTGTCATCTGCTCTACTTGCTCAAAGATAGGAAGCAAGGAGCTATCAAGGGGCTGCTTAACTTTAATCTCATCAACCAAGGTCGGCTTAACTTGCAATTCTGCTAACAAAGTGCCATCGTCATATAAATTCATCCTGGCCATTAAAGATCTCAACTCCGATACTGCCTTTCGACTCAAAGCATCCGCTACAATATTAGCTTTACTAGGGTGATAATCAATCACGCAATCATAATCCTTTAGAAGCTCTAGCCAGCGACGCTGTCTCAAATTAAGCTCCTTCTGGGTCAGAAGATACTTTAAGCTCTTATGATCCGTGAAAATGTAACACTTCTCTCCATAAAGATAGTGTCTCCAAATCTTCAAGGCAAAAATTATTGCTGCCAACTCCAAATCGTGAGTAGGATAATTACACTCATGAGGTCGCAGCTGACGGGATGCATAAGCCACCACTTTGCCTTCCTGCATTAGAACACATCCAAGTCCTGAGTGTGAAGCATCACTATACACTGTAAAATCCTTCCCGGACTCTGGTTGAATCAACACTGGTGCTTGAGTCAAAACCCCCTTTAATTTCTCAAAGCTCTCCTGTTGTGCCTCGCCCCAATCAAACGGCACATTCTTCCTTAACAACTTTGTCAAAGGAGAAGCAATGATCGAGAAGCCCTCAACGAAACGTCGATAATAACCAGCCAAGCCCAAGAAACTACGGATCTCAGAGATGTTCTTGGGTCGTTTCCAATCCACAATAGCTTCGATTTTGCTGGGGTCGACCTGAACACCTGCGCAGAAATAATA